CTATTGTTTTCTTCCCCTTCCCGATATCTCCCAGTTTTCCCTGGAATTACCACGTTCCACCCCCACCCTTGCTTTCACTGCGTTGGGGTGAGCGCTGCTCTCCTCGCTCAGCCCCCCGATCCGCACACGAGTGCCCCCAAAACCTGCGCTGTCCCACTTCGCTCCCCGCTGGCGTGGCTCGGTGCGGGCCGGGGCCGCGGGGCGTGGGACACGCGTGGCACCAGCCCCGGCTGCCCCCGGCCCGCGGGGGTCGCGCAGGATGCGCGGGGGCTGCGCTCCCGCGTCCCTTCCCCTCCGCAAACTCCGCTTCGCTTTTTCCTCCTCCTCGCCAGTGCTGCTAAAATAATGCATTTCCTCGAGTCAGGCCGAGTCCACTTTCCTGCCTTAAAATGCATCCAAAGTTTCCCGGATCGCTGTCAGATGTCACCAGCGAGCTCTCGCGGGGCGGCCGAGCCGGGGCTCGCTCCCTGCCCGGGGGAACCTGGCGTGGGAAGCAGCAAAACCCCTGGAAAATCCACGCCTGCCTTGGAGCTGCTGCATTCAGCAAAGGCACAGAGCTACCTTCGCCTGGCACTCACAGCGCAGAGCCATTGTGCCTCCCCAGAAAGAGAGATTATACAATATTTTAGCATTATGTTGAAGTGGATAAGTTGAGTGTTGTCTTGCATGGTGCCCAGCAAACAAATAATTCAAATAATATCAACCTTAGTGGTGATGGAGCCACAAGGAGAGTGCTTAACCCAGATACAGCAGCAACTGAAGCACTGCACGGAATAGGTTGGGTAAATATAAACACATTGAAAGGAAATGTGATTTTCTTTAGCAAAAAGCCTATAAGAGAAGCTGAGGCACAACCAACAACCCTCCCGGCTCCGTTCCATCTTTTGCAGGGCGCCCCATGGATTATAATAGATGGGTCTCTTGTTCTCGGGTCCAGCGTGCACATCCCCGCACGCCGTGCCTCTCGGTGCGGGGGAAGAGCATCCTTCCCCACGCAGCTCCATCCTTTCCTGCCCAGCTCCTGCTTGCGCTCCTTCAGACTTGATCTCGGGCGCTGCAGCCGGCTCCGGCAGCCGGATCCAGTCCGTGTTTGTAGCCAGGGAAAGGCTGGATAATGATAACTTGTGTGTGCGAGCTGAGCCGAGGCAGCGCTGACTTTAGTCCGGTTTCCATGTCAACGATTCAGTCCATATTTGCCATCACACAGTTGGCAGAGCCCGATTTTTTTTTCTTTTCGTGGAGGGGGGAGACACTACTCCTGTTTCTAGTACTCTAATCTAGACCAGGTTTCCTAAACTGCCTTAGTGCTGGGTTAAATGGCACGGCCACCTTCATGAAGGAGACTTCCAGTCAGGAGGAGCCGGCGCGGTGGCGGTGGCCTGCAGTGCCATGTGAGCGCTGCTTCCCAGCCTATCTGCGAGCCGGGAGCCGGCCGGGCTGAGCGAGGCGTGCTCGGCTCCCGGGGACACGGGCGACACGGGCGACACGGGCGACACGGGCGAGGAGCGCGGCCGCGCCGCCGAGCAGGGACGGCTCCGCCTGGGAAAAGCGAGGATGCGCCAAAGGAAAAGCGGCTCCGGTCCCGCGGAGGGCCGCGGCATCCCGGGACGGCGGGACAGGCGGGGGGATTTTCAGCTCTTAGGTGGCAATGTTGTTAAGAACTGTGCTGTCATCTGCTTCCCGGTCCTCATGGCTGGGAATTCACTGAATGCCTCAGTATTGAGTAAAGTGCCAGGGCCTCATTGATGAGGCGTATTCCAAAATCTGCTGCAGCTTTCACAAACATTTGGTAAAGTGAGTGTCTCCTCATTGTGTGGGTGGCTGGGGAATCCGGGCTGCTTTTCACATTACTATCAACACCGGGTTTCATAGTCTGACACAGTGCTCCTTGGAGGGGGTTCCAAAAGACGGACACAGGTAGAGAGGTGTGAGCTCGGGATCTTTGCCTGGATGCACCCGAGCTGCTTCCCAGGCTCCTGGAGTGAAGTGGTTAAACTTCTGGCGGTGCTCAGTGAGATGGTGGGGCTTTGCTCCCTGAAGCACACCTATCTTTGGGGCTGGGGAGGTGAGTGCTTGGGATGGTTCTGGGATAAAATGGCAGAATTCTCTCCAGTTCGTGCTTTTTAAAGTTTAGTGCCAATGAAACACCCAAGGAAGGGTGTTTTGGTGCTGTGGGGCACAATGGACATTAATGGAACACTGGGCTTCACTTCTGAGAGTCAAGCCTGTGACTGGAGGAGTTTTTCCCCGTCTTCTCCTTTGTCTTTCCAGAACACAGGATTTCATCAAACAACCCCTCTGTGAGGAGGATGTATATAATTTTTCGTTCTAGTACATTCCACAGTTTCCAAACTCTTCTGAAGAAGAATATCTTGGTATTTTTCCTTCTCTGTGGTCCACACACATCTCACTAAAGCCACAGGGCCTCCCAGGTGAGATTTCAGCACTGTACTGGGGCTCCAACCCTTGAGAAGGCCTTGAGTACTATCACAATACCAGTATCATCATTTATTACCCATTTTTTTCCTAATAGTTTATTTACAGCTGAGGAGAAAGGCTGACCAGCCAATTTGCTGGATGGAATCTGCTCCATGTTGCACAGTCAACTGCGCAGGCTGAGAAATGGCAAAGGTGCTTTGTTTGGAGCCTGAGGGGCAGTTTGTTGCTCTAGAAAACTCTTAGAATTTTGCTATTTATCACCATATCCCACCTCCCCTCCCACTTTCCATCTTTGGAACAACCTCTTTGTTCCGCCACCTGCACTCTAGATGATAAATATTTCACATTATAAGTTTTATAACGGGTGTGAGGGCTGAGTTGCTGTCAGTAGACACTGACACCCCCACCTGCAGGCACAGGGTGCTGGCAGGGACCCAGTCCCGCTGCCCAAGGCTTCGCCTCCTGCGCTGGACTCGCGTTTGCTCACTCCCAGCGGGGTTCCTTGCGGTGTGTCCCGCTGGGTGCTGGGCTGGGGCCAAGCCCTGTTTGTTGTCACTGCACAGAGGTCACTTCTGCCACATTATCTGTTCTGTGGTGATGCTCTAAAATGGCAGCCTCAGACCTCAGAGTCTCTTTTGGCTCCCCACCGACTGTTTTCTGATGTTTTCTCTCATCTAAAAGTTGTATTTACTTCAACTTCACTTTTCTAAGTATTTCCATATTCCACAGGAACACCAGCACGTGGGACCCAGGCCTGACCCACACCACGCCTGCCATTTTTACCAGACATCCATGTCCTGATTTCTAAGAACCTGGTGTTTATAACCCAAATAACTAATCTTTTTGACCCTCCCGTGCTCTGCTGCAGCCTTGCACTATTTGAAGTTAAACAGGCAGGTTCAGACCCCCCTGGCACAGGCCAGGCTATGTCCAGGATGGGGCTCCAGGTACATTGCTCTTCTCCCTCCTCCCGCTCTGCCAAGGCCTCAGGATGGAGGAGGAGGTGGGAATCTGGGTCTGAAAGGGTTGCAGACGAGCATGGCCCAGTTCCCAGTTCACCTCTTGACAGCTGGGGAGCTCCAGCACGGCGCTGGGCGCTGCCTGCCAGCGCATCCTGTCCCGCTGCCCAACGTGTTGTGTCTAGATGCGCTCAGGTGGTTTTGGATCTGGGAATTCCTGGTTCCGTGCCCACCGCCCTCGCCTTGGCAGGAGCGGGGAGCCGGACTTTCTTGGATTGTCCGCGCGTGCAGTCACAGCCCTGGCGCGCCGCCAACGCCTTTTCCAGAGGGACACGGCCAAGCGGAGAGGAAATGACAACCGCTAACAGTTCGCAGAGGGCTTAATTCTAAATGGAATTTCTAGGGACAAAGAAGAGGCGCTTCGGTAACCCACGGGCAGAAACCCCGGGGCCGGCGGCCGCCGAGCGGCCAGCACGCCTCCGGAGGGCTCCGGCCGCGGGACATCGCCCGCGGCCCGCGGGGATCGCCCCGGGCGGCCCCGGCCGCGGCGGGGGAGCGCGGCCCCCCGGCCCCCGGCTCCGCCGATCCGCCGCGGGTTTTGCGGGCGGCAGCTCCGCGCCGGCGGCGGCCGGGGCCGGCCCGC